ATCCGGGCTGTCGTTCAACGAGACCAAATGCAAGATCCAAACCATCACTAGGAAACGAAGCCCAATAACCGCTAGTTACCAGGTATCTGGTTGTGTCATCGAGTCTACAACGATAGAGCGCGACCTTGGCGTTTCAGTATCCAGCGATCTGTCCTGGAACAAGCAAGTTTATGAGCAAGCTGCTCGCGCCAACAAGATTTTGGGTTACATCAGAAGGAATGCTAAATCCATCACAAGCACATCTTCGAGACGCACTCTATACCTTGGCCTGGTACGTCCACACATTGGTTATGCCACCCAGGTTTGGGCGCCCCAATCTATAGAACTAATCTCGAAGGTCGAATCGATCCAAAGACGGGCCTCTAAGTTCATCTTACGCTTGCCCTTCTCAACATCTATAGAATATAAGCAGCGACTCCTATCATTAAATCTTCTTCCGGTTACCTATTGGCATGAACTGTTGGACCTGGTTTTCTTCTTCAAGGCCACACATAACTTGGTTTCTCTTCACGGCTCTGTTCTTCCAATTAAACGTGTTGCAAGACCTACGCGCCACTCTAACAATCTTACCAAATTTGTTCCTAAAAACTGTAAAACAAGTACATATCAAAAATCATTTTTCATTCGATCCTGTCGTGTATGGAACACACTAGTTAGTCTTTTAAACTTTGATACTTTAAGCTTGAGCTCCTTTAAATCTGCACTGTATAATTATTATCTKGACAGTCTCTATATTTCCTATGACCCTTATAATCCAAGAACCTTTAAGACTATCTGTTTAAAATGTAATTCTGCCCGTCCYCTTAACGTAAGAATATCTTGCTGTATGTAATTTTATTGTTCTTGTCTTTTAATCGTTTTACCTTGGGCCCGCTGTAATTGGCTCTGCTGTTGCGGTGTCCCTGCCACTTTCTCATTATTGTGTTTGCATGTTATTTATTTATGTTATGTACTCATGTATTTACAGCTGTTATTCTTGGCGAAGCTAATAAAATAAAAATAAAATGAAATGTATGCGTTTTGGGGGCAATTCAGATGGTTATATGAACACTAGGGCAAAATTCAAAGAGAGATACGGAAAAAGTGTCGCTCCTAATGTATTAAAATGACCTAAAAACAATGCATGACGTTCGCACGTTTTACATTATAAAAATTGATCCAGGTCTAATAGACCGCTTTTGATATTCTGGTTGACGCACAAAAGGGGAAGCTCAGGGGAGACAAAAAGATTATCTATTGTTTCCCATGAGTCTCGTCATCAATCCCTTTGTCTGGGGTTAGGCAATCAAAATATCGATTATGGGCTATTTATCCCATTAAAATCTCGTCTTTTCTAGGATCCCTGTTTCTCCAATCCTTGTTTGAATGGTGGTACTTGCATATCGAATACCTCTGACAACACGTACCGATGTAACTGTGGACTAGCAATCCCAACGTTACCTTATCTTAATGACAACTGTGCAATCGGTAGGAATATGAATACTCTATTTTACAGTTTCTACCGCCATCTTGAAAGGTAGTCGAGCCWTTACATCAAAGCGAGCAGTTGAGCTTGCAACAATAGATCTGTGGGTATCTATCACTATAGGCCTAAATCCTGTCTCGTTTTGATACAAAGGCTCGGCTACCTTTCAAGATGGCGCTCAGAACTGTAAGTAGCAACCTCGTCCCCAGGGCCATCTCGGCCGACTCCTATTCAAAATGGCCGTCATTTTGAAAAGGAGTCGGCCGAGATGGCCCTGGGGACGAGGTTGTGTAAGTAGGAAAATGAACCATATTTTACTAGCATTAATTCGCGCAAAGTCAGGGAAATCTATTCTTTGGCAGATCCTGTTGTTTTCAACTAAAAATATGTAATGTAAGGTAATATTCAATAGATTTTATTCCCGATTCAACACGGACCTCCTACTTCTTATTCACGACGGCTGCCATCATATTCTATGCATCTCTACTCATGATTTATTATGATCAATTTAACAGGCAAAACAATTTCCCGCCGGTTTCAAGTCTACAAGAATGTCTTTATTCAAATAATAAACAAAACCTACTCGCTTAACTATTATGAAGCCCAAAGGGTGTGTGAAATATTTGGGGCTCGTTTAGCCAATTTAAATCAACTTACAGCTGCGTGGAAAACGGGTTATGACAAATGCAGGTAGGTGAAATATCATGACTTTTACTCGAGTAATTGAAGTGGGTTCAAGCGAATTCGAGACAGTCCGAAGAGGTAGCGGAATTAACCGTGTCAAATTAAATTATAAAAGATAGGAACTTTAATTCCCATCTTAATTAATTTAATGTTAGTTCCTCTGGCCCGTATCTTTCAACAATCATTAACTGAATGCATGGCCTTTCTCGTGTATTTTAAGTTATGGTTGGCTCATTGATGGTACATTGAGATATCCTATTTTTTATCAACGTTATACGATGGGATGTGGTGGACTTGGACCTCCCAGCATCGTTGGTAGCTCTGCTCCAAGAAACAAAGACCATGATAAGTCGTGTGCATACTGCCACAGGGATACCGGTGAGAGCAACTCTGTCATATCAATACAGGTCAATCTAATTTCACTTCTACTGATCAGCAGACCTTTACTGAACTTCATAAAAGCCTTTCCATGCATGTCAAACATTATTACATTTAACTTACTGTGCTTTTTTTCCATTTCAAGAGGTGGCTAGCATTGCAAATTTCCTGAAATTTTATTTATCATCAACTGTATAATTTTAGAATTGCTTAACTAACTGCAATAACTGCACAATTGTTTGATTTTGAATCTAATCTGGCAAGAGAAAAGTAAGGAATGCCATTAAATTACCCATAATTCCCTCGATATAATGATACATGTCAGCAAAATTCTTGCAGACGAATATATACTCTGAATATTACTGCGTGTTGAATTGAGAATAATGATCAACTCTATCCAGATCAATGTAATGAAGAAAACTGGCATCAAAACGACTTAAAATGTTTTAAGTTTTTCCTGGACACCAAGGCTTCCTGGGATGATGCATCTCGCACATGCGCACAAGAAGGAGGTAATCTTGGTGTGTTCGGAAGAAAGGGAGGACTGCACTTTGTGACGGACTTTGTTCAAAGTCGAAATAAGTCCAACGAACAAATCATGGTTGGTCTTCGACAGGTAATTTTGGTTTTAGCTCGTGTAAATTTAACTGTCTTTATAACGAACGTTTCACTTCATAGGATGAATCAAGGGGATGGAAATGGGTCGATGGGACGTCTGTTGCCTCCTCCCTTTGGAATCTAACCGCTCCTAATGGAACAATAGGAACCATCAATTTGCGATTGATATCACTAGACAACGTACCTGACACACAACTGTTACCATTCGTTTGCGAAAAGGACCTCCCTTAAAATCTACAGGTAAAACATTTCTTAATATTGAAATCGGTGAGCAGAGATATGGATCGATATCATTTATCTTTGAGTGTTAAAAGATCTCTCACGATCTGACACAATCGAAAGCACGAGAAAATGTTGTAAGGACAATAGCGCGAACAATTTGCGCTTTCCCCGAGAATCTGTTGTCAAATAGAGCAGGCGGTTTTCGCTTTGAATTCGAAAATGGAGTATTAGATGAAATTCGTCTCTTTGTGCGACCAGGTGTTATTATGCAAAAAGTGATCGAGCACATTTTAAAGGCGAACTAGAAACTAGATATATGCAGTGTTTGGCATTATTATGAACTCATTTACCTGTAATTAGGACTGCATGACGTCATGCACATTTCGACCAATGAGGGGCTAGACGCCACCTGAGCGATTTCTGGGAAGTCATTTGCATAATGAGAATAAAAACCTGTTCATAAAACAGACTGCGTCGATACTTCTACACTATCTCGAGCCAAGAACAGCGTTGTTTTTGTCGTTTATCCTTCTTAGAATTGCAGAAAGAAGACACGCAAACTGGTAAGAGCTGCCAACTTTCAAGGAACCGCATTTATTATAGAGCCATAAGGAAATATTACACAAAAATGTTTTATTTGAATTGGCCGTGTTAATTTATGAACAATCTACTATTTTTTCCAAACTTTTAAATTTGGAAAATGCATTTGCCTGAAATGTAACTTTGTTGCATTCTGATTCAAAATGACGTCTTTTCCAAATCTATCACGATCTTACTAGTATCTGAAGTCTTTTAAGCCGACAAAAAATGAATGAAGGTGGCCAGAAAATGGCAAATGAAAGTGAAAGTGTTTCAAAGCTTGCACCTTAGAAAGCTTATAAAATATGTCAAACTATTACATAAAGTTAGTTTAAGTACTCTGTTTGAACTATGATCGAAAGTGAACTGATCTTGATTAATGCCAATAGATTCAATCGCAGAGAAAGAGAACGATAAAAAACGTTGATGTTGTTGTCCAGTGGTTCCGGGAATAGGCCCTTTTACTTGAGCTGTTAATAAATAAATAATAAGTCGAAAAAATTACCTTGAGATTAGAAACATTGTAATTTGTCAAATCTGACAGTTATACACGCATTTCCTCAAGCTAAAGATATAGCAAAACGAGGCTTCAAGTGATACACAGAAAAAGATGAAAACGAAAATGAAAGTGCTTGGTCAACAAACTTTGCATAAGCGGCTCCCCGTAAGAATTGTATAGTAGTTTTGTTGGCTTTTAGATTTTATCCCTCTTTCAGCTATATTTCTGAATTTGATGACTTAGGGATCGACATTTCTTTTAAATAACAATGCGCGTAAGAACTAGCCAACTAGCTCTCTAATTGTCTGCGGCAATTGTAACTTCCCCACATACGAATGTCTTGGTTTTCACACGGATTACATATCAACCTATGGGTAACACATTTTTAAAATAAAATGTGGATAAAGTCTGTTTTGTCTGATAAAATTGAGGTATTTCCGTATTATCTGGGCATGCACAGACATGTCATCGTTTTAGTCGTTATTATTGCCTTGGCCTTATTATTAACCTTTTTGACTTAGTGTTTATGATATATCACGTTTTGAATTGACTWAAGTCCAAAGTTCGATGTATGACGTCGGCCGAATGTTGCTTCATTATTAAAACTCAGTAATTAATTGAGATTTGTTCGAAGTCCTTTTAATATAGTAGTCTATTTGAAGTGATTGTATTTTGTACTCTCGATTGCAAACTTTGGGAAGTTTTACTAAGCAGTATTCTACTCCTTCATTTACGTAACCATTAGTGCTACTGGGTGATTGCGCACATTGCAGGCGTTTCRTCGGCGTTATTATTAAAGGAGTAGTTTTGAAAAGAACTGCGCAGTTTGAAATAAGAACTCAAAGGGCTGGGAAATGCGTGCGCTTCAGTACGAAGTCCCCCTAACCTATAAGGGACTGGATACCAGCCAAACTTGAAAAAGAATAAGCAATTACGAAAGGCTGCGCGCATGATTTCAATGGGCGTCCAGTCATTCAGGCACAGTTACATGAACTACAATCCTTGATTTCCGGCAGCCTAAGACTATCTATAGCTTTCTATAAGACAATAAGACGAGTGCGTAAGCACAAAACTCAGAGTCGAACGGAGAGCCATGCGTGTTTTCTTGTAGTTCACCTGTTGTATAAGACAATTAAAATATTTGACGACAAGTGCCTGTTATATATTATATCTAATTATATATACTGATCATTTTAGATCAAAATGCCTGACGGAAAGGACACAGCACCAAAGAATCCAATGACAAAGGAAGATTCCTCACGAATCCAGTCCACCCAACCCAACCCCACAGAAAAGGGATCGTTTGCAGCTAGAGCTCAGGCCGCCGCTGACAAACGTGATAATGCCAAAAACTAATGGAGCTTTGCACAACAAAACTAAATTCTTTATATTGTAATAAGCACTGTAGTTTGTCATGTAATTTAACAATTAATATCATGTAAAACTGTCCGAATTTATGTAAAATTGGTTTACTCAAGTCGTAACATTACACATAGCTAACAGAACTTCAAGCCTATTATTTCTCTTTTAGAAAACTTTTAAGAAACTTTTTTCAAAGGTCCACTTCCATCCAAGAACCCTTGCTATCGTTTTCTTGTTTCATTTGGAAAAATCTGTTACTGAGAGCAGAGTTAGTAACTCTGCTGAGAGTTACTTCTTTAATTAGATGATGATCCACTGAAAATGAACTGAAAATGAGGATTAAACCTGATCATCCATACATTATCCAAATTGCGTGGCCTTGAAAGAATTGTAATTCAAATAGCTTCATGAACTATGGCAAAAACTCGACTTGAGAGCTGTACGATTKGACTGTGTTTTATATGCTTGCGAAATTGGGTTCCCTGTGGTAATCCTCCTGCGACTGGTGATACAACACTGTCCTTTCTTGCCCACAACTAATCGGGAAGACGTATTCATCTCTTCTGATTTTTATGTATTTTTCATGAAAATAAAGGAAAAAAGAAAAACGAACATATAATCGTTTGGATACCTGTACATGAACACAGGAAGCCCAAAATATAAAAACAGAGAATACTGGTCAGCGGATTGATACTATAAACATGGCGGCGCACGTGTGTGTATGATTACTGTATTTTAGAAGAGAATTTTAGATTATACAATGCTCAAATCGAAAACATTTGTCAAGAAAACCCGAAAGGGGAACGTAATGAAAGTTGTACGAGAACATTACCTCCGAGATGACGTTTGGTGTGGCGCAAGTCATTGCAAAAATTGTGATGTTAGTTCAAATAGCATCTTGGACAGTTGTCCTGTCTCGCTTTCTGTAKATCTTTGTGTCTACCCACACTATCTTCTTCCTGATACTAATGTTGTTATACATCAGGTAAGCACAGTATTTGATATATTGGGGAACTTTTTCAATTATTAAAAGTTTTGACTGTTTTCGACCGGACATTTCATGTGTACCATTTAAGCTTATTATTTGCTTTTCGTTTATTAACACTTTTTGTGTGTGGTTGACTGATAAGAGTGAATGGTTTGAAGTCAGGTGAAAGTATTTTCCTCTCTATCAAGTCTCAGTCTCTCTCGTGGATAGGGAGTATTGCATAACTGAAGCTTGATACTGATGTGAGGAGATCAAGGTGTTGTACATGTATGATGGACAATGTGTCAGAAGTCTTGAGGAAGACTGTCATATTGGATTAGTTACTGGTGTTTTGAAATTCTGTTTGGAAGTCATGTTCAGTCATTTTCCCATTCTAAACAAAGGCAATCACGAGATTTATTTAGGGAGGGGTGCAAGGCACTCAGGACGGGTTGCACTAGACATAATGATCACAAAGAAATTAAACACAAGGGAAAGAATGTTTCAGGGGTGCCTACTAGGTCTAGAGGAGTCCTTCTTAACACTGACACCCAGGCAATCATACTGTACAGCACTACTATAAAGTTTAAACTGAGTTTGATAATTACTTATTATATTTGTACATAATGACAATATCTGCTGTAGGTCCTTAACAGAGTGTGATGTTGACATTTTTGATTCTATGGTAGATAGATGTTCTTGAGGATCCAGTTTTTAAAAATGTTATTTTATTGCAAACARTACTTGAAGAGGTAAGAGAAGTAATGCATTGGATACAAGTTTGCTGGTGATGTTATTTTAAACACTCCAGTCTTTTGACAAAAAATCAATTTACATGTAAATATTCATGTACTTATGTTAAGAAATAAAAGAATGATTTTTCTATCATTGACATTTGCAACTTATAGTAAGGATTGTTCTTCTACATGTATATTGTTTTTAATCAGTTTTCCCAGGTAAATATTATGATTGTTTGCACACAGGTTAAGCATTTGAATATTGGTGTTTATAAACGAATACGAAGCATTATATCAGACCCAGAAAGGAAATTTTATGTATTTTCAAATGAGCATCACAGGTAAGTGATTATGACTGTTATGATGTTTGTTATTATCATTACAACTGATCATTGATGTATCTAAAATGTTGTTTTCTCAAGGCAAACATATGTAGAAAGAGAAAAAGATGAATCAAGTAATGATCGCAATGATAGAGCAATAAGATATGCTGCCAGGTATAGAACATGACTTGTTCAAAAAAAGACTACAGTACAATGAACAATTATTATTTAACAGGTCAAAATATAGAACGAAGAAGCTGAGAGTGAAATGATACATGAAATGTACTTACTATGAAGTAGAATAACAGAACTTACACTGTACTTCTACCTGCAGTAAGCTTACTAGAATTTCGGTCAAGTACGATCAATCTACCATACAACTCACTCCACACAATTTATTGTACTACATGTAAACTGAATCTTACTTTTTGTAAATTCTCATGTAATCGTTCAGTCTCAACGTCTGCAAATTATGTATGTTCTATGATTTTGAATCCAATCAATCAATAATTGTTTAATTAAACCCATTGCAGCATTTATAGGCTGAATTGCGGGTCAGCCAGCATTACAACTCAAAACATAAATAATATAAATATATAAATAATACAGCATGGTTCGTAATATATTAATAATCTATTGATAGTCTATTGATATTTGACCGTGATGAATTCATTAAACCAATGATTGTTTCTTTGTACAATGTATAACTTTTTTAAATATAAGTAAATGTGCACCAATCTAAACTTTGTATAAAAATTATTATTCTGTTCATTATTATTCAGTTGGTATAATAAACATTTGCAAGAATGTGAAGGCAAAGATGAGGAAAAAGTGAATGTCATTCTCCTAACAAATGACAGAGGAAATAGGGAAAAGGCTGTTGCTGAAGGAATTGAAGTCTACACAAGTTAGTCATTTAGTTGATATCAAAATACAATAGTGGTTGTCAGAAACACTCTTATTTCACATTATCTTTCCATCATTATTCTTTTGTATTAATTTTTTGTTTTTGTTTTTGTTTTTGTTGTTGTTTTTTACTTGGGAAACTCCAGAGCCACAATTTCCAACAAAAAAAAAGATATATTTTAACACACATAGCACATAACTCTGCTGTCAAATAACTTCTGTGTTTTGAGCCATAATTTTTGTCATGTTGATTGCTTGCCTGTATTAATGTGTGTTGTATTGTAGTGAGCGTTATGATAAAATTGCAGCTATAGTATTTTATAATCATGTACTGTATCTATTCATAATTTTCTTTGGTTGTGCAATGTAGTTCATGAATATGTCAAAAGTCTGGATGGCTGTATCGACCTTGTTGAACGACTAGCAAATCTGGACAAGCAGGAAAAGCAGGTAATTCTGCAGCTGGCTTTTCACTTCTAAAAACATCAATGTCTGCAAATATTTTGTAAAAAACTGAGAGCTTTTTCACTATTTGCTGCTGTACTTTGCGTTTAGGCTGTCGATGGTAAAAGAAAGACTGTTTTATATCCTGAGCATCTGCCTTTGACTCAAATTCAAGCTGGTATCAAGTCAGGCAGATATCAACAGGTTTGTTTCTTTTGTTTTGGTCATTAACCAGACYGTAGTAAACGCTAGCTAACTTTAACTGAATTTGTGTTTTTATTTATACATCTGCCATGCGAAGCATAGACCTTCCTTGCAACTTCTGCCTCCAGCTGTTCTCTCTATCTTCCATTTCCAAATCTCTCCTTTAGCTGTTTCTAAGAAAACCCTCTCTTCCTGTTATACTGGACTGGAATAAATAAGCTGTGTGTTAAAAATATGATCTCTTTTTTATTGTAGGGTGTTATTCACGGAAGCAGGTCAGTATTTATTTCATGAAAAAATGGAGTCCGTGTTTCTTGAATTGATCAACATTAATTGTTCTTTTTCTTTGTTTAGAGAAAACTACCTTGAAGCTGTTGTGTACCTAAGGGACAATGAACAAGAGGTACATTTGAATTTTACTTTAGTAGAGAGGAGTGAAAAAAAAAGTATCAACAGTGAATAGCATACATATATATACATGCCTAACAGATACAAGGTCTCCTTGGCTTGTCTACATGTAGTTCCCCACAGTTGTAAATAAGTAGCAATAACCAATATACAATAAAACAGTCAACTGAATCTTTTTTTTTCTAAGATATTCATCCAAGGTCTTGAGAATTTGAATCGAGCTGTACACAAAGATCTAGTCGCAGTGGAGATTTTACCCAAGGAAAAGTGGTCAAGACCATCTTCCATGGTATTAGAAGATGCTGCACAAAATGATGAAGAAGACAACATAGAAGAGGTATATTAGCATTAAACATGGTTAATAATAGTCCAGTCACACACCTTTTTTTAGCCTGCTTTATTGAACTGTTGGTCACAGGGAAAAGGGTCCAGAAGAACTTGCATGTGCATGCACTGCATCATCCAATAAGAAACAGCCAGGAATTACATGTATTTCTTGAATGTGCCTCAAAACACATCTGTTTGTCAATTCTTTTTTATTAACAATTAACAGTAATTGTTCTAAGAATTAAGCGAGTTCAATCCTATGTTTACAAAGTTCCAGTATGCAAAATAATAGTCCAGATCATTCATGAAAAAAATGATCAGTGATGGAGATTTTTAGTAAATGTTTATATTTTGTAGGATGACCTGAAGAAAAACAGTAGAGCGAGCAGAACAAAAACAGGGAAGGTACAGTGGATGATGTGTGTGTATTTTAATGATGTTATGATGTGCGTGTATCATATKATGTACATGGGTAAAGTACTGTATATTTAACAATTAGACCTCGAGGTCGAGTGGACTACAAGCTAATAGCCCATGAGCCGAGTCCACAAGGCTGAATGGGCTATTAGCTCGTAGTCCACGAGGCCGAGATGGCTAATTGTTTTAGTATAAACATACTAATCGGTCAAATAATGAAAACAAATTGAAATATCCTTAAAATAATTTATAATTTATGATTTATTTATTTTGATTTTCCTGCGAGTGGTCTATCACAAATTAGACCATTAGTAGAGTAGCCAATCACAGCGCAGTACATGTATGAGTGATAGACCATTAGTATGTTTATACTAAAATATATTATCTTTAATGATTCTAGATTGTTGGTATAATCAAAAGAAACTGGAGGCCATATTGTGGTATYATTAATCCAGCAGGGAACTCTCAGGTAAGTATGGGGCATGCACTTACATGTGAAGGTGCCGACATGGTCTTTATGCAGATTGCTAGTTTAAGGCCATATATAGAGGAGGGGCTATCATCTTGGGCCCTGAARCCATGTCTACAACCACCTCTCTGAAAATGTCCTGGATCTGCTCCTGATGTAGAYAATCAGTGAAAATGAACATGACTTTCTGTGTCTTTAATTTTGCACAGTTGGGTAGACAAAATATTCCTAACACAGACGAACACAGACATATCATTATGTCAAAGTAGTCTTCTCTAAATGTGTTCATATTTATCAGTAATTATATATATGATATCAAAGAGGCAGGATTTTGCTGTAACTCCGAGTTTCGTGTTACGCACTCATCAGACAGTATTTTATCAGTAATTAATTATTTTTACTGTTTATTTATAGAGTAATCATCAGCTATTTATAGCAGCAGAGAAAMGAATACCAAGAATCAGAATAGAAACACGACAAGCCGAAGCACTCAAAAATCAACGAATAATCGTCAGTATCGACTCATGGCCGAGGACATCACGATACCCACTGGTAAGGATGTATCCTGAGTTGTATCTTGCTTTGAATTACTAAATGTATATCCATTTCAAAAAGGTTAAAAGGTAATATTGGAAAAAGTACSGCAGGGCTATAGTGGATATTATGTATACCATTATTCACTTATCAAAGGCTGGCAATTTTAAATGTGGTTTCTATTAAGTGAAGCCCAGAAAATGACTGAATATTATCCATCAAAAATTGTATTTTGACAGCAACTATAAGCTTAAGTCTTGCAATCGCTGTTTTGCCTTGCAATGTTTTTTAAGTAGCTACGTGCATGATGTGCGTGCATGTCTCACTAATGCAGTAATGTAAGCTGACATAATGGTATTTTTCAGGGCCATTTTGTACGCAGACTAGGAGATATTGGTGACAAAGCAACTGAGAATGAACTTCTTCTACTTGAACATGAAGTACCACACTTGCCGTTTTCTGCTGCTGTTCAAAAAGACTTACCCAGCATGCCTTGGGAGATACAGCAGGAGGTGAGCCACTGACAAAAATGCATTCTGGGACGTATCAGGGACACTCTGACAGAAATCCATATACATTATTGTGTATTTATCCTACTATTACGATTCTTTTTACATTTATAAGCATCCCCCCCTCGCCCATTCCGCCTCCATAGGATCTGTTAACAATTCAAAGTGAGTATTCTTGCGGCAAATCACGATTTGTTATCGACCCCTTCCAGGCGTACTAAATCTTTTTGTCTAATTTGGTGCCCATACTGTAATTTACAGTGTCCTGGAATGCGTTATCTACCGCAAAGCATGGTGGAAACCATGTTAGTCAGTCTGCACGCTTTTTACGTCCGTATGAATAATAGTTGTGTAAAAGGATAAATTTATGAATATGAATATGTATGAATAATACCCAAAATCCATTTTCTGATTTCCTTCGCAAAAAATGTAAATAGTTCTGCCATTTCTGTAAAAGAAACAMATACAAATACTACATGTWACTTCAGGGATTATTTTAAYGGACATTTCCCATCGTGAATTGTCATAGAAAATGGGCGTCGCCGCACATTTGGTTATTCATATTATGATCAACAGGACATCGATTGCCGTCTTGACCTTCGTGATCTGGCAATATGTAGTGTTGATCCTCCTGGCTGTACTGACATAGATGATGCTTTGCACTGGAAGTGTCTCGACAATGGCAACTATCAGGTACGTACTTAAAAATAGTGCTGGGAGAAAATAATCAAATCTGGATTTTCTTATGATAGCGATTGAGAAATTCAATTATTTGAAAACTAAAGAAAACTACGTAGCGTTAAACCACTCTGAGCTCCATTAGTATTTGTGCATCATATGACCTGTATTCGTTCTSGAGCGCGTACTTAAAATGACGTTTAGAAAACGATGATCTGGGAGGKACCACATGTCAGGTTCGGATGAAAAAACCCATAGCTGGTCCTGGACCCGCCACTCGCGCGCGCTCTCAAGAAATTTTGGAAAATAATCAAGAAATCGTCATGTGATGATGTCCTGATGATGCTGTAGAACATAGGCTACCCAACCATTGCTTCAGAGAAAGAAAAGAATGAATGCGCTTTTATACTAGTATCGGCGCGCGCTCTTAGTGAAATGCGGATTACCTGTGGTATTACGTCACGATCCCGTGCCTCGCGGGATTCAAACAAGTCTGTGACAAGGTATGAAACACTGGTCACGTGATGGACCGATGTGCGCCCCAGGTAGCTTGTCTATCCCTCCCTATCGTTTTTTTTCGTATGGACTTCGAGAGCTTTCGTAAACAGTCGTATCGCTCGACATTTCTCCGATGGTCGACCGATAATGTCGCTCCCTTTCGTCGCTCCGTCGCTGCCACATATTCACTGCCATAAACTTGGTTGATCTTTCATTGATTTTGCTCGGGTTTCTTTGTAGTTTTTGTTGGAAACCTACATATCAATGTTTTGA